ACAAGCGAAATGCAACAGTGGATTTAAACATCGTCGTCATCATAAAGGTCCTGTTTGAAAGTGACGATAAGGAAAACGGCGTCATTTACAAAGATCAGATCTATAAAGTGCATGTCTCCTGTTAAACCGAGGTCAAACTGACTCCAGTTAGCAAATTAGCAATATCTTGCGAAGTCTAAAATCTGAGTGGAGAGACGTTCGAAAGCCCATCTGCCTCAAGAAAGTTAAAATCTCCACCATGGCAGATCGCGAGAGTATTTTCAAAATTTCGCATATCTGTGCATCATTTTCGGACGACGCGACGGGTGGATAACAGGTATCGCCGATAATAGCCTTTTCAGTCGAGAGAATAATCGAAGTGAAGCGGCAATTTCTAAAAGACGAAAGAGAATATGAATCGTACAGACGGTGGTTTGAGGAACACCTATTATAAAGAAGACAATCGCTCTCGCGCCTTTTTATGCGGCCTGGACAGTAGACATCGAAATCATCTATGAAGGGGGAAGAGTCAGAAATCAGAAGGTGTGTCCAAGATTCGATAGTGTATATAATATCGAGCGTTGTTCCGAGAACAACGGCTTTAGGTTAGGGCATCATAGTTATAGCAGAACTGCCCCCTAGTGGTATAATATTTAATGTATTTAGAGATGTGTGTCGATTGTCAGCATCGTTTAAAGAAAAACAGCCTGGGTGTGGATGAGAGGGCTGCAAATTTTTTTGAAGAATAAGTACTAACGGTCTCGGAAGTATTGGCAGAATAAGAGCCAGCAATAATAGGCTGAGATAGAGGTTCGAAATATACAAAGATACAATTTTCTCATATCATCATATAAGGTTTTTAATGAGGATAATATTGCTGATAATTACCATGGAAATTGGGGATAATAAAGGGAGACAGAGGCCATTGGGGTAAGCCGTCAGAATTAATTTGTGGGAAACTAGGGCTGCGATGAGGGTTAACGGATTTAAAGAGACTCGCGCAAGCACTACTGACCGTAGGTGTCTGGAAGCCTGAACCCGGGTGGAGGTAAGAGGAATATGGTCGAATCAGGCAAGGAGCATTGACCGAAAAAATAATAGGTTGTTGTTTGTTATCCCTTGTGCCGAACAAGGAACTATTTGAAGTTATAAATAGATTTATGGGGTTTATAGATGAATTGGAGTGCAAAGTCTTCGTAAACGTAAAAAAGGCAACGTTTCACCAAAGGAAATTAAGCTGCCCTTCGTTTGACACAAAGAGCAATGTAGTTTTGTAATCCCGTTTTCACGCCATCTCTGAACTGATTTAGAGAGGAAACACAGCAGACTACGTTTAAATGGGGAAGCTGTCGGTATAGGTGACTTAGACGAAATCATGCACTGTCCGAAAGAGTTCTCAGGAAAGTTAGAGACGACAAATTCGGCTACTATTGATCTGGAGGCAGAAAAAGATGGCTAGAGATTGCGAGCGTGGGGGGGGGGGATTAGAAATAAAGGGATTGATCGAACTGGATTTCAGAGAAATAAGACTGACTGACTTCTCAATGTTAATATTATGACTGGACTGAGGAACATTCAGCTGAGAAGACGAGTATCTTTCTGGGAAGATTGGTTCAATTCTTAGTCTTTGCGTGTGATGTCGACAAATAAAAATTTCCCTTTATGGTTCGGGAATTGGCGCGTTACAAGGTGGATGACGCTGCACTCAGAGAGACCCGGTTCTCTAAGCAAGGTCAACTGGAGTAGATGCGAGCCGGCTACGCCTTCATTTAAAGCGATCGTTATAGGGCAGAGCAACGAGACGCGGGTGTCGCCTTCGCCATCCGGGACGACATCGTGGGACGACTGCCCAGCCTGCCGCAGGGCATCAACGATCGCCTGATGAGGCTCTGTCTGCCTCTCCGGCGGGGGGGAGGCAAATTCGCCACCATCATCAGCGCCTACGCTCCCCCGATGAGCAGCCCTGACGCCGACGCAAGAGAAAAATTCTATGAGGACCTGCACGCCATCTTGTCGACTGTGTCGAAGGCGGACAGGTTGATTGTCCTTGGCGACTTCAACGCCCGCGTCGGCACAGACCATACTGCCTGGAGAGGAGTGCTGGATCCCCACGGTCTCCGCTGCTCCAACGGACTGCTGCTGCTACGCATCTGCGTAGAACACCGCCTCATCCTGATGAACACGCTCTTCTGTCTGCCGGAGCGAGAAAAGGCCATCTGGCGGCATCCTCGGTCGCGTCAGTGGCACCTGCTGGACTACGTACTCTTCCGGAGGCGAGGTCAGCGGGACGTGCTGGTGACGAAGGCGATCACGGGTGCTGACGGTTGGACCGACCATCGCCTCGTCATCTCGAAGATGCGTATTCGCCTACAGCCTGGCAGGAGACCACAAGGTAAGCGACCCCCAGGTAAGCTGAATACTGCCTTGTTGTCTTTGCCTGCTCACCATCTGCACAGCAGCAATGGGATAGCTCAACAGCTAATCAGATTTCCAGTCGTCGTCGCCGTTGACGAGAACGCCCCCGTGAAGCAACAATAGTGTCAACTACGGGGCACACTCCGGTCGACAGTGATGACTGTCCTCGGTCACATACGACGCCAACACCAGGACTGGTTAGACGACAACGAGGCCGCCATCAGCAGCCTGCTCGCCGAGCAGGACTGCCTACAAAAAGCCTACGTAGACCACCCCACAGACGACAAAATAACAGCCATCTACCGTAGTCGCCGCCCTGTGCAACAGCAGATGGGCGATATGCAGGACGCCTGGACTGCTCTCAAAGCCGAGGAGATCCAAGGGCACGCGAATCGCAATAAATGAAAGAACTTCTCCGCGATCAAAGCTGTCTACCGTCCGCCACCCAGCAGCACTGCTCCTCTTTTCAGAGCCGACGGTATTATTCTCCTGAATGAGAAGACAAAAATTCTACAGCGTTGAGCCGGGCACTTTCGAGGCGTCCTTAACCGCTCCTCCACCATCTCCGGCGCCGCCATCGCCCGTCTGCCACAAGTGGAGACCAGTGAACCTCGACCTCCCGCTATCTGTCCAGCAAAGCGTCAGCGCCGTGCAGAAGCTCTCTAACCAAAAATCACCCGGATCGGATGCGATCCCTGCTGACGTCAAAAAGCACGTTGGCCCAAACTCATGCATCACCTGACTTCGCTCTTCCATGACATTTGACGTCAAGGAGAAGTCACACATGATATCAAAGACGCAACAATCGTGCATGCATGCAAGCGAAAAGGAAACCGCCCAGTCTGCGACTATCACCGAGGCAACTCCATGCCGGATATTGCCGGGAAAATTGTCGCTCGCATCCTCCTCAATCATTTAGAGGAGGGCCATCTGCCGGAAAGCCAATGCGGATTCCGCCACCAACGCGTGACCACGGATATGATCCTCGCCGTCCGTTAAATTCAGAAGAAGTGTCAGGAGATGCGGAGCCACCTGTCGTGCGTATGTCTATATTAAAGCCATATTAAACATATATAGAACTATATTTAGTCATAGTAAACAGTCGACCACTACTCCCATAATTTTACATTAACAAGAGCAATATGATGCATGATTCACTAGTACTTTGACAGTTTTTATTGTGACTTACCATTGAATGCTTCTTACTCCTGATATATATTCATCTTTTCCAGCTCTTAGTCCAGACAACGATGGTAAGCCTCCTGAAAAACACGTAGGAACTGTGCGACCGCCCCCTTACAGCTGGCCAGATAGACTGACAACCAGCAACTAGAGCACACCGAAATTTACCCAACAGGAAAATAATTTCAAGGTCAGGCCGATAACAATGTTCTTCAATTGCCATGAAGGACATATTATTCATGCCCCCGAAAACTACCAAACTGCAAACTTCAATTTTTATATTGTACATATCGCTATTTTTTGAAAATTTTGTTATCATTTTCCCTTAGAACTGAGGTTTTTTTAACTTAAAACAAACTCTCAATTCGCGCTCTTTTGGCTAACCAGACACCCGAAGCAAATGAAGTCAAAGTGCAGTAGAAATTTGCGAGTTTGTTTTAGGTTTTTTTCCTGAGTTCAAAGGGGACTGACAGTGCCCAAGGGGCGCTACAATAAACCTATTCTATTCTATTCTACTCTGTCCTCGTGGACCTGACGAAAGCCTTCGATACGGTAAATTGTTATGGACTGTGCAACTCATGCAGAGATTCGACTGTCCCGAGCAATTCATCGCGATGGTGCGTCAGCTGCACGATGATATGATAGCGCGAGTCACGGACAACGGAGCTGTCTCAGAGGCATTCGCAGTGACCAACGGAGTGAAGCAGGGCTGTGTGCTGACACCTACCCTCTTCAGTCTTATGTTCTCTGCCATGCTGATGGACGCCTACCGCGACGAACGCCCTGGAATCCGCATCGCCTACAGAACGGACGGTCATCTCCTGAATCACCGGCGCATGAACTTCCAATCGCGTGTATCCACAGCCACCGTGCACGAACTTCTCTTCGCCGACGACTGCCCCTGAATACCACCTCGGAAGAGGAAATGCGACGGAGCATTGACCTCTTCTCTGCCGCCAGAGAGAAATTTGGGTTGGTCATCAACACGCAGAAGACGGTGGTGATGCATCAACCGCCACCCAAATCATCCACACGCCTAAACGAGCCGCAAATCAGCGTGAACGGAACCCAAATGCAAGTGGTGGAGAACATCCCGTACCTGGGCAGTACTCTCTCCCGCAACACCAAGATCGATGACGAAGTCGCCAACAGGATCTCGGAAGCCAGTCATGCCTTCGGTCGTCTCCAAAGCACAGTTTGGAATCGTCATGGTCTACAGCTCAGCAAGGCCGTCATCCTCCCGACGCTGCTGTACGGAGCGGAGACCTGGACGGTGTACACAAAGCAGGCACGCCGTCTCAACCACTTTCACCTCAATAATGTTCATCGCATCCTGAAGCTGAACTGGCAGGATCGAATCCCCGACACTGATGTGCTCGAACGGACGGGAATCCTCAGCATATACACCATGCTGCGACAAATGCAGCTGTGCTGGAGCGGCCACCTGGTGCGCATGGACGAGGCGCGACTAACCAAACGACTCTTCTCTGGCGACGTCGCCACGAGGTCTCACCGCCCAGCAGGCCCAATTTGCCGTTACAAGGATACCCTGAATTTCTCCCGGAAGCGTCTACAAATCAACCCGACCAACTGGGAAGAGCTCGCACACGATCGACCGACCTGGAGGAGGACAGTGAAGACAGGCGCTGCGATCTACGAAGCCAACCGCGTCGCTGCCGCCAAAGTGAAACGCGAAGCCCGGAAATCACAACTTCGCCCAGTACGCAACGTCGCCACATAACCGCTTCCAACGTGTCCTCGATGTCAACGGACATTCTGTGCTCGAAACGGACTTGTTGCACATCTTCGGATCAACTGCGCCTCTCAAACTGCGCCAACCATCGTCCCCGCGCCCGCCTCCTCCTCGTCCTCTCCGCCGCCGACTGACTCTGACAATTCTTCTGAACCACAACTTCCATCCTCTCCCTCCACCCTATTCGGCCACATGCGCATCCACGGGAGCGGAACTGACCTCAATACCGACTCATCCGTCATGCCAAACCCCACGCCCACTTCATCACCCTGCGCCCCCACCGCCCTTCCCGCAACTGACACCGACACCACCGCATTCCCCTGCCCACACTGTCCGCGAAAATTCACCTCTCGCATCGGCCTTGTCGGTCACTTGCGAATCCATCGCACAGAGACTGTCGAACCAGTGTCTGGAGCACCAACCTATACCCACCAAGCTCGACTCAAATGCCCACACTGCCCTTGCACCTTCAGGCATCGCACGGGCCTATTCGGCCACATGCGCATTCACGACGACCTGCGGTAGACAACCGCCGGTTACACCACACATCCACACACTCCCTACCCTCCTTCACCATCACCACCACACACCAACGCTTACCCACCGCATGCACCAACTGCCACCTTCCACGCAAGTGGGAAGTGTGCATCTCGACTCGGTCCCCATGCGGCTTCGGCTGCTTGAGTGACTTGAGTCCGAGACTATCCCGACACGTCAAGCTTCATGGATAGGAAGGCTTCTGACTGACGCCCGCGCTCGGTTCACGCAGTTCGTCGCGTTGTGTGTGTGTGTGTGCGTGTTGTGTGGAGTGGCGGACTGGTGGGCTGGGGACGGGCTGCAACAGCACCTTCCACGGCCATCTTACGCAAGTTAGTGACACGCCGTCCAACCCCCGTTGTGTGAAATCCTGTTGTGTGTATGGGGGGCCAGGTCGTGCTGTGGCGCACGCAGGCATGGTCAGTCGACCGTGCCAGCCACCGCGCCCATTGCCCACTCCAGTTTGCTGACCGGCTCGGACAGTGGCTGGGGTGTGGGGATAGGGAGGGAGAGTGAGGTCGACAACTCAAAGCATTTTCCTTACTATAAATAATCTGACGCGCTTAAAGCTATCTCGATGCGCTAAAAGCCGTGGCTTGGAAGTTTGCCAACTGACGGGGTAACTTGGGACTCCTCCTTGACTGGTGCTGATCTGAGAGTCAGGCTGCAATGACTCCTTTTTAATGTGGCCTTTATGGAACTCCCACCACATTGTAGGATCCGTGCCATCGTTTGCGGCACGCCTATGTGCGGCCGCTTCGGCCGTGCCAGCCTCCAAATCTCTCTTGTGTTGGTTGAAATCCTGGTTCTTTGTTGTGAGGACCAGGGGGTGTAGTGGAACGCCAAGGTGAGGATCCGTCCGAGCCATCCAACTGCGGCCTCCCTCGTCTCCGGTCTTTTTGACTCTGTCTTGACGCCGACTCAGGGGGGGGGTAGGAGAGAGTGTAGGTAGATGCAGCGCAAGTCTACTGGCACTATAAACCCCTGCGCAAGTCACCGTTCCTGCTCCCACCGTTGCAGCTGCAGCTGTGGGGCACACGGTGGACATCGTCGAAATCGACGGTCGAACTGTCGTGTGTCTGGTGGGCCAGGTCGTGCATGTGGCGTACGTAGGCATGGTCAGTCGACCATGCCAGCCACCGCGCCCATTCCCCACTGCAGTCTGCTGACCGGCTCGGACAGCGGCTGGGGTGTGGGAATGGGAAGGGTGAGTGCGGTCGACGACTCAGCGCACTTTCTCCTCACTATCAACATTCTGACACGCTTGAAGCTATCACGGTGCGCCAAAAGCCGTGGCTTGGAATGTTGCCAACTGACGGGATAACTTGGACCTCCTCCGTGACTGGTGGTGGTCTGAGAGTCAGACTGCAATGGCTCCTTCTTAATGTAGCACTGATGACGCTCCCAGTACAGTGTGGGATCCGAGCCAGGCGTTGGCAGCACGCCTAAGTGCGGCTTTTCTGGACGTTCCAGTCTCCACTCTCTGTTGTGTTGGTGAAAATTCTGGTTGTTTGTTGTGAGGACCGGGGGGTGTGGTGGAACGCCAAGGTGAGGATCCATCCCAGCCATCCACATTCGGCCTCCCTTGTTTCCGATCTTCTTGACTCTGTCTTGACATCGGACTCAGGCGGGGTGGAGGAGAGCAAGTATACTGGCACTATAAACCCCTGTGCAAGTTACCGTTCCTGCTCCCCCCGCTGCCGCTGTGGGGCACACGGTGGATATCATAGAAATCGATGGTCGAACTATCGTGTGTGTGCGTTTGTGTGTCTTTGTGTGCGTGTGTGTTTGTGTGTGCGGAGGGATTCCAGATAGTGGCGGACCCAGTGTGACACTGCCAATCGGAGTGAGACTTCGGCGTTCCGGCGGCCAGAACGGACCCCTGGTAATGTCAGCGTCGATCGACTCGGAGGCTGTTTATTTCGTTTTCCCAATGTGACCCCGATAACCTCTCCGACAGTTCGGCTAAAGGATACATTGAGTCTTTCGAATGACACGATGCATGGAGGGAAAAAACACGAAGATTCGGCCGGGGGATCGTGAAAAGCGAAACCAGCAGCGGAGAGGAAAAATGTGAGGGAATAGGGTAATAGGCCGGCGTTTTAGATGTTCGACGATCCTTTCTCAAAATCATGCAAATAGCTGTTCGTGAAGAATGATGAAAAAAGTTTACGCGACTCACTGTTAAGTTCAGTCTTTTCTTAAAAGCATGCACAATATTTGACGATCTGACATTGGTTGGCAGGTTATTCTGGAGGAAGTCATACCTGTAAACAGAGAAGATGGGACTTTCAGAGGTCGAGGAAGAGGGGGAGATATACCTAAGGAAGAATTGCAAAAGTCAGATGTGCGATAGATAAGGGCTGGACTCCGAAGAAGATTTGAAGTGCTATTAATGATGAGGAGACAGGAGCTAACTCCTAGTTTCCGAACTCCTTGAAACGGCAGTCTAGTGAACCGACATTTATTTGCTTTCATAATATTAGGATGGATCGTTCTCAAGTGTTTTCTAGTAAAATACCTTTGGGACTTTCCAATTTTAGAACGACTAAACTTAATAGGTCAAAAATTGGCAATAGTATTCAAAGATAAAAAGACAAATTTACAAAGAAGTTTTGATTCAGTTCTAGAAAGATAGGAATCATAAGAAGCAACGCACTGGTTCAGGCCATCGGCCGGCAGCGGAAGATCTAAATTATTGGTGTAACTTGAACCCGAGTCCTTAGTGGTAAAACAATCAGTCATACGTGCGCCTTGAGGAATGACTAGTTATGGCAGCCTTTCAGGTCCACCACGAGTTTAGAGACACTTGAAAGGGGAGGCTCCTATTAGCTATGTTGGGTTCCATTAGGAAAGGGAGGCAGGTCTGTATGGGTTTGTTCCACTTTATTTTGGATCGTAGAACTGGGGGAAGAATATTCGCGTTTCAGATCGTCAGCACAGGTAAAAGACTAAGAGTGTCTCATTTACGGCGAAATATTACTATTGTAAAGCAAAAACAAAAGAGAATCCATACGGCACTTTGGAAAACACTGCATAAAGTATGGCTCTCAATGGAAAATGAGAAGCCCGCTAATACCTTTTGCTTCTGACTAGATAGGTTTGACTTGTTATAATTGTGGTGGACAACCATAATGACAACCTCGCGCCTCTCGCAAGCACCTGCTAGTACGCCCTAGCGACAGCCTGCTATGGCACGCACGTCTGTCCGGCTTCGATTTGTCTCGTTGCAAATCACTGTCTGAACCACGCATCTGATCGATTCTCTACCTGCACCATGCGAGGCTTGTCACTACCCTCGCGTGGGCTAGGAGCCAGTCAATGAAATTCCTCTCGATGATTGATAACACAGGCGGACAAAGTGTGGACCCTGGCGTACAAAATCTGCCACGACACTTTTTCAGCGGCGACCTTCGGCGACGCACGGCTCATCGCTCTCACGGACGCCACCCTCCGCAGCACCGGGCGAACCCTCGTCCTGTCGCCAACTTTCCACTATCCTTCTGTACAGAATAAAATCTTCTATCCGACTGGCGTCCCGCCTCGTTCAACTGACGATGTGGCCTGAAGTTGCGGCGCACTGAGCATATACCATAAGCGCTTGGCCGCTCCAAATTCAGTAAGGGGACAATGATTTCCCAGTACCTCAGTTTAACTAGGAGTCGTCTGCGCGGCACATTATCGAAAATGTTATAAGGATCAAAATAGATAAATAAACTGCAGTCTACTCTGGACGTTCCGGATTGTGCGCGGCCAGGATTGCTCATTAAGAGCAGAGGACTTCTTTGAGTTCGCCCGTACAAACCAACTACGCGGCCATGCATTCAAAGTCGGGAATAAGCGCATGTGTTTAGACCGACGAAAATTTTCATTCAGCCAGCGGGTTGTAGAATGCTTGTAGAATGCTTGGCAAGGAAGGAATACCACAATTCTGCTTTGCCCGATTCCTCTGTGCTAAATGTACTGCTGCAACTGCGTAGGGACACAGTGGATTGGTGGGACTTTTCAGACAGTCTATGACGGAAGACTTGATCTACAGTGCGGAAAGGTTTGCTTTGATAATAATCATGTCCTCTATATCCCCATCACGCGCCAGCCTCATTTCATGGTGGGTTGCGACGACCACCAACCTTAACTACGTATTGACGGTCATGCCATCAATGTGCCTGGGGTTATTAAGGATCTGGGCGTATCATGCTCCAAGAGCCTCAATCTCTCGGAGCACTGTGCCTTGGTAGTCTCCAAAGCACGTAGAACGACCGGGTTTATGCTCCGAAACTTTAAAACTAGAAACATTGGAATGCGCCTTTACAACATGAACGTTAGACCTGGCCTGAAATACTGTTCGTTTTTATTTAGCCTCATGCGTGCTACTGAGCAGAAGAAAATGAAATTCGTTCAAGACTTTTTTTACCCAGAGAGTTTTAACCCCGGAACACTGACATTTGTCT